CCCCAAAACCCCAAAACCCCAAAACCCCAAAACCCCAGAGTTAATCAAGAAGATTGATGGTTGGCTATACTAAGACTTGAAGAAAAAGTTGCTCTTCGCAATAGACCGGTCTTCTCTGATCTTATAAATGGAGAAGTTCTCCTTCTTGCTGAGCGAGCGTCTATAAAGTTACTGAAGCTATTTACGCCTTGGGCAAAGACATCTTGATCGGAGAGTTCGAGATTGATATCTATATCTCTGAGTTAGACAGCAAACAAGTAGGTAGTTTTAGAGAACTTACTCTTCTTGAGTTCACACCTGGACGATGCTTCCCCATTGTGAACCTTCTGAGGGAGTTGGGCATCCCTCGTGCTTGGAATGAAGGCCTCTTTGAAGCAATGCATGGAGTATCTGGGAATTCACAAGGAATTTTTTCTAGGCCTTCGATCCTACACAGAAGGTTTAAAACTGCTGGTAATATCAAGTTTCCAATACCTGTTATCAAACGAAGGATAAGTCTTTATGACTTGGGCCTTGCTCTTCGGTTTGTACAAATTCAACCTGTTCTTAAAATTAGTGTTCCTCCTGGATATAAGGCTGGTATATGCCGATCTCTTCTAAACAATCAGGGACTTCTCCGTACCTGATCTTTATCCTCATTCTTTCTGTTTAGAATCGGCTTTATCCGAGATGGGGAGAAAAGCACGCCCTCTAGGTTTCCTAAATTATGCCTAAATTTGTATGATCTGGTTTACTTATAAGGCTGGAATTTCTCTTTGCCCTCCTTTAAGCCACTGAGCATTTCTGTGATAACTTTGGAGAATCGGTTGGACTCTCTCGGTCAGATATCTTCACAGAAGCTGTCCCACATATTGTTATAGAAAGAGGTCTGGCTCTCATCCAATATAGGTGAGGGTCTACTACCAACCGAAAAGCGGTAGTCGTTACTATAATATATTGATAAAAACCTTGGAATGAGCAGCAAGATGATCAAGCCTAAAGGAAATTACCTCTTTTCTCTCTTAGCCATCGAATTGAATTTTATACGGGGTTTATTTCTGATAAATCCCTGCTAAGAACCTAGCCTTGACCTTCTATATAAAGTTTTGATTCTTCATGAAGATTTTGAAGACTTTCATTACAAAATTTTCAAGGGAAATACCTGATATTTATGTCCAAATCTCGACTTTTTTGGACTTTTGACCTCAACAAGGTCGCCATTCAAAGTCTGTGAATTATCTTGAATTCCTATAAACATATATTTATCTGTATTAATGAGAGTAGGCCAAGGAATGCTCATACAGCCAGCCAGGGCTTGATAATGTGCTGAGTAATGGAGCCAAAGGATCTTACTCATATTATTGCTCGCGCTCTGCTTGAGTTTACCTCCAACTTTCTAAAGATAATCTAAGATTTACCTTTAGGATGCTGAACCTGGTGGTTTGGTTATCAAAATTCATATTTGCTCACTATTTTCTATTATTCAATTATATATAAATTTCTAGGGGTTTTGGGGTTTTGGGGTTTTGGGGTTTTGGGG